GGTGACTAACATAATAAAATTAAATTAAATTTTAAAAAAAGGAGCCCTTAGGGGTGCCTGGGTGGCTCAGTCGATTAAGTGTCTGCCTTCGGCTCAGGTCATGATCCCAGGGTCCTGGGATCAAGCCCTGAGTTGGGTTCCCTGCTCAGCAGGGAGTCTCTTTTGCCTCTGCCCTCCCCCCGCACCACTCCTGCATGCTCGCTCTCTCTCTGAAATAGATAAATGAAATCCTTAAAAAAAAAAAAAAAAAAAAGGAGCCCCTAGTGATTCATGTGCACATTCAAGGTGAGGAGCACCTGTTTAAGTCATAGTTATGCAATGAGAGTTTTTTGACTAAAAGAGGAAAACAGAAACCACGGCCCTGGCCTCTCTGCATTGCTCATTCTACTACCCCCCATGTGGTGAGCTCCAGGTCAGGTCTCTTGATTCTAGGTATGAACTTGGAACCTTCCATGATAATCATCTTGGAGTGTATTCATTTAGGAATGTACTGAAGAGGCCATGTTAATTTTCAAATCTAATTTGCTTATGTATGTTGTTTATTTGGCTAAAAATAAGTGTTGTTACCTAATAGTTGTTCTGCAAATGGAGAGACTTCAAGAAAGCTTTAGCACAGTTCTAAAGAATCGTTAGGAACATGGGCCCTGGGTAGACTCTTCTTCCTAACTGCGTGTCCTTGGAAAGTTTATTTAACCTCTCTGAGCTTCCATTTTCTTGATAATAAAGAGATCACTGAAGCAACTCTGTACCATTACCTACAAGTGGGTAACTTTTAAATCACAACATAGTTCTTGATAAGTGGAGGATATGTAACTCCTTGGGGAAATTTTTGGGAGTCAGAGAGTGTTTAATAGATTGCCATACAGATAGGTCTCAAAAGCCAACAGGTTCTCTGGGCCCATTCAGTTGCATTTTGCTTGTACATGAAACTCTGGTCTACATGGCCAATGTGGTGGCTACCCATGTGGACAGGGCTGACTGGAGAGAACAGCCAGCCCAGAAAGCGAGTAGACTGAGTAAGCCTCTAAAATTGAGGATTTTCTGATCCCTGATGAAGGTTCACTGAACTGTCTAACACTGGGAGAGGTAAAGACAAATCTGCCTCCTGAGTAGATCCAAACTGCGCGCCAGCAAATGTGCCAATGGCGTGGGGCTGGGCAAGAGGAAGGGGAAGGGAGCTCTGGGAGAGAAGTGAACCATCCTCCAAATCCATGTTCCCCTGTCACTAGGAAAGGCTGCTGAGCTGGGGATTCTGTTTTCTTCTCATGTCTGGGTAGGGCCATGGAATCATGGATCTCATCAATGCAATCTGAACAGAAGCGATACGTGTTATCTCTGGGCCAAGGTGGTGAAGAAGCAGGTGTGCCTTTTCTACCCTTTTTTCCTCCAAGAGCCAAATGCCAAAATCCCTGAGTCCAGGGGAGGACACAGATATAAAACTCAGGGGCCTTTGTCCCTGAGTCACCCGCCAACCAGGAACATCAGCAGTGGGCAGTTGTGTGAAAAAATGTTATTGAATTTAAATCAATTCAATTGAGAAGTGATTTGTTGGAGCAGACAGTATTACTCTGAATAATGTAAGTGTCTTAAATATATGGGAAAAAATAGGAGAAATAAATAGAATTGGGCCGGTGGGGGGGTGTACTAGAAGCCCAAAAGGCTTCTAGTAAAACATCAAGCGGCCAAGTAGGTCTCCAGAGAGAATCCAGGAAAGTCTCAGATGCACAGAGCTGAAATCAACATGAGAATCCAAATTGTCCATTGCAAACAGTGCAGCTTTTAGATTAGGAAAATGAGGTCCCAAAAGATGAAATGATGCAGCCAAAGTCTAGCAGTAGATGTGGCTCAGAGAATGTGTTCTGGAATGAGAAGCCTAATCCACTGGCTCCCGGTCCCCTGGGCACAGGAAGGGCCGCGTGCACGCCTTACCAGACACACTGTACCGACATGTGGATGCCTATATACACAACAGGAGGCCAAGAATCGTAGGAAATATAACCAAGAGTCAGACATTTACAGCAGACTGTTTTTAGGGAAGGGTCACAAAACAACAGACAATAATATAAGCAACAGAGAAGAAAGAATGAACTAGGTGGGTTGCCCTGAAGAGATAGACACAGGATTGGAAATAATTTTAAAAATGTTCCCTCCACTGCAGTGGGTGTGCTCTAGGGGCTGGGGAACAGGGCAGTGCAGCCGGTCTGGCTTTGCTCTCAGACATGGGCTAAGGACCATCCTCCTCTGCTTTTCTCATCTCTGGTCTTATTTTAGTAACTAGCAACCTTGCAGTGGCTGGAGGGACCCCACCACCCCTCCCAGAATTCCATTTCCCTATACCAGAGGGAGCTGTGGGCATCCCGCCCACCGCCCCCCTCCCCCCGCCCCGCCTCTGTGATGGCCAGAGAGGCCCAATGTGGCAGCAGGGGTCTGCAGACTCTTCTGTTAGGAACGGCTTCTTTGCTGTGGGCTGAGGCCGTTGAGAAATGCAGGGCAGCAAACCCAATTCTAATTTAGTGCAGTGTGCACTTCTGCAAGAGGGTCCGTCTCAAGCTTAAGAACTCCGTTTAATGGTTTAAAATAAATGGGTGAGGTGGGGAAGGCAGAAGTCACTGTAGTTGTTCTCGACTAAGGGAAGCACTGAAAACTGATCGGTGCAGAAAGAAAGCCAAACATGTCATTTATTGAACTTAAGGCTCCCAAGTATGTTGGTGTGGGTGTGCAGGCTTGTTTATTTTTTCCCTTTTTTTTTTCTTTATTAAGGGTAATTCTCCTCCCCCACCATCACTTTTTCCATGGTGACAGGCACTTTCATAATATTCTTTTCATATCTACATAACTATATATCTCATATAATAATGATAATCATCAGTATCAGAGAATATCATCATATATACATAAAATATATGTTATATATTATATAGAGATACAGATATAGACAGATATAGCTTACTGTTCAGCCTTCACTTGTACTAATCCCTTGGTTTAGGATTCCTTTTCTTTGATATTTTTCACTAAGCGGACTCAATTTCCAATAAGGCAAATAAGAATCATCTCTTGTAGGAAGGTTTCTTTTATCACCCCACCCCCCTCTCTAAGGTGTTCCTCTTTTTATGATCCATTTGCACCCTTTGCTTACTGTAAAAATAGAATCCCACAATGTATTATAATTATAGATGCTTCCCTGAGCCTGTTGTCTACAGTTGGTATTGATGAGTTCCCATTACGGATGGGACCAATTTGTGGATCTGGGGACTGTCTTTTATGGGAGTGGCTATTTGACAAAAGGCTGCTTTGCAAACCCAGGCATCTAAACCAGTGTAGCTCTATTCTTGGACAAAACTCTGATAATGACCTCTACGAATACGTCTGCTGGGTTAGAACCATGCTTTCTGCTGGACTTCCTTTCAAATGAGTGTCCCAGCATGCCAGGTGAATGCCCAGAGAGGCTGGTAAGAAGAAAAAGTTGTTCTTCCCTCTGACCAAAGTCAAGAAGAAGGGAACCAAGAGGGTACACTGGTGTTTTAGAGCTATTTAACATATAAACTTTTCTCCTACGTTTGGGAATTTTCACTCTGTGGTATTTAGTGGGAGGGAGATATAATTCTACTGTACAAGCTGAAAAGGTCAGATATCTGCTTTCCAGGCACTTTTCTTTTTTTAACATTCTTAGTTTATTAATCCTCTCATGAAAAATCTGCTCTTCTGGTGAGCCCGTGCTAAGCCAATCAGACACATCTGCCTGAGTTAACTCGCAGCGCAAAGAGGCAGGGGGAACAGGGAGTGGGGGCAAGGCAGAGTCAGCTACTCCAGATCCTGGGGGACTGCAGGAGGAATCCAAGAGGTAGCAGCTGTGTTGGGGAAGGCGACAGAGTTGGTAGCACAAGCAGTGGATTCTTCAGAAACAGTGGAGGCAGCGTATTCACTGGCCTAGTGTTCTGCTGTGATTCTAGCCCATTTGCTGAGCCTGCCTCTCCATCCTTCCCCAATTACTCTGTGAGCCACTACTCAGCCTTTCTACAGACTTCTTTTAAATCAACCAGGGTTAGGTTGTTTTTGCTTATAATTAGGAAACATGTCTGAAACCATCTACAATATGCCCAATGCTCTACTATATGCTTATCCTCATATTCTATGCTTTATATGTATCTTCACTCACATCATCTCCATCAACCCCTGCAAGGTGGTTATTAAAATGCCCGTTTTACAGAGAAGGGCCCTAAGACTCAGCTATGTAAATTGTCCATGGTCACACACAAGGACGAAGTAGAATTGGAATTTTAAAACTGCCCTGCCTCATCAAGGAGCCCCCACCTCTAATTTTTCAGTACATACCATATTGTCCAGGGTAGTGCTCGACAGAGAGGGCACTGATGGATGGATGGGTGAAGGATGGATGGGTGGATGGGTGGAAGGGTGGGTGGGTGCAAAGGTGGTAGATGGATGGATGAGTGGGTGGGTGGGTGGATGGATGGATGAGTGGGTGGGTAGTTGGGTGGATGGGTGGATGACTGGGTGGGTGGATAGTTGGGTGGATGGATGGATGAGTGAGTGGTGGGTAGTTGGGTGGATGGGTGGATGGATGGATGGATGGTTGGCCAAAATATGTTTACAAAAGAAAAATCAGCTGTAATCCTTTTTTATATTGTTTTGAAGAAAGTTATAAGGGATATAGGGAGAAGAGCTACGTGATCACTCCTGAGGTCTCTAGATCACATCTTGGAATTATTTTGTTCAATCATAATGTAAAAGACTTTTGCTTTTCCACTCAAAATATAAAGGCAGGCAAGCCAATATAATTGCATTTCTCTGACATTCTTCTTGAGCCTCAATTTGGAAAGGAACTCTATGATGAATAATCACAGGTTAATGAATTAATCAACCAAATAAAGAAAGGCTTTGACATTCAGGCAGACAGAAGTGATGAGAGCAGTGAGGTGCACACCCAGATCACGCACGGAGCCGGGGTGCAGGGGGGGGTGGGAGGGTGCCGTGGTTCTCACCTGACATTCTCATAGCGGTGGATGTAGATCCGATGGAACTGGTGCTGCAAGTGCTCGTCTTCAACATTGGTCATGTCGTTGATCATTTCCAGGACGACAAAGCGGGGGAGCACAGAGAGCACGAGCCGCTCCTGGAACAAAGCAATGGAGAGGGACAGGCTTGTTAGGCTGACCAGCAAGTCTGAGACCCTGTCTCCATCACTGATAGTCGAGTAGTATTAGGTGAGCTTGGTCATGTCTGTGCCTTAGTTTCCTAATTTGGCAAACAGCAATAAAATCATCTACTTGTTGTAAGCATTCCATGAAATAAAATGTGCGATAGGCCTGGCATGACTTCCCTCCCTCCTCTCTGCTCTCCTTAACTCTGCTCCCATGCAAAGGGCTTTATCAGTGAAGTGCCCATGGAGCTTCATACGATGAGGCTTCTCCTCTCTTGAAAGTTGTCTCATCATGAGACTGAGAAGCGTGGTTCTTGCAAATGACCGTGCATCATGTCCATTTTCTCTTCATTATCACTATTTTCCAGCTTCCTGGGTATCCGTGGCCCTGCTCATGCATCCCTGCTGCATGGGAGCAGGTGCTAATCACGGCTTTGAGGGGCACTCAGTGCCTGAAAATAGTAGAAGTTCAGTAAATGCTTCCTAAACAAATGGTGAACGCACAGATGGCAGAGACTTAAGCCTATGGTTCCTCGCCCTCACTGGAACTTGGATCATGATTCATCCATTTATTCATTCAGTTACCATGTCAAGGAGAAGGTGCCATGTGACAGGTGCAGGGCTGGGCGTAGAGAATTGGCAGAAAACCAAACTAGGCATGGCACTCGCCTCTGGAGAGCCAGTGTTCTAGAGCTAATAAACGGATCCTGGAAGAGATGAAGAGGAGCTGGTGGCTACTTTAGCGGAACGGTCAGTGAAGGACTCCACACAGTGACTGAAGCAGGGAGCTAAAGGACAGAAAGAGCGGTCCTACAGAAAGCCAGAGAAGGTGCTGCAGGCACAGGGGGACAACTAGTACTGAGGCTATGGGATACGGTCTCTTTTGAAATTCACTCATTCATTCACTCCACACGTTTACTGAGAGTCTTCTGTAGACAAGTATGTTAGCCACTATGAATATAGTGAACAAACAGATGTGATCCTGAATTCCCTGGGGGGGCTTACAGGCTCCGTCTCAGAGATGCCAGGCTCAAGAAGTGACAGTCATGGTAGCAGAGAGGTCAGGCGAATGTGGCTGGCAGGAGCTTGACAAGCACTCTGACGGTAAGTCAGGGGTAAGCTCTCACTAGCAGCATGGGCCGAGAACCCAGTGACTTGGGGCAGACCGCTCTGTAAGCCACCGATGAGGTCCTGGGAGCCTTGCTAGAGCTGTAAAGGTAAAGGAGGAGAGGCCGGGCTTCTACTCAGTTTGGCATCAAGATTCAGAGCCGGGCACAGAGCAAGTGATGAGAACTCGGATCTGCAGAGCCTAAACATTTGTGGCAAGTCTCAGGAAGAAGGCATATGCTCATTCCTGGTCCAGGGGCTCGCCACCCAAGTGTTCTAAACCAGGCAGTTATTCAGATGAGCCACGCCTTCCTCTGATCGTCCTGGACCTGCCCAGGGGATGCCTTCTCTAACTGTTCTGCTGAAGTGACATCCTCTGTGAAGCACCCCCCCCGAATCCTATGCCATGCTGACCTGCCTGTTTCTGCCCCTGATGGCAACCTCCACCAACTTCTGAACCAGTTCCTGTACTACTTGAATGCAGTAACAGTTCTTCTGGCTCACCTCCACTTACCGACGCTCTGGATTACCTGACTCAGTGGGTCCACGTTTCCCAGTCCCTCCCTCACACCTGTCAGCTGGGCACTTACAGGGCTGAAGGTCCCCAGCTCATAAGGAGCTCTTTAAATGCCTACAGCTTCTATTCCATATTAGCCCCATGTTGGCCAGGAGCCCCTGGGCTTATTCCCAAATGCAATTATGTCGGTTTATCTGTGAGTGTGTTCACTCTATTTAATTAGGTATTAAATTAAAATTTTTAAACAAGTAGGAATGAGTGTTGCTGTTTGTATGAAAATGGAATTGAATGCTTCAGGAAGACTTGGTAATGCTGAATAACCAAAACATCAACACCGAATTAAGACATGGGTGAGGTGGCCATGAACGTTTATGGGAAAAGTGATGAAAATTCAAAAGTCACTCTGATAATATTGCAAGAACTTTTAAATTCTTGCTCCATTTTAAGGAACTAGAAGACTTGGCTGATGCACAATTAGCTATGGTCTCAATAAGAAACAACAGAGCAAAGCTAAAAATAAATGCCTTGGCCTTATTTTAAAAGACCAGATAATGAATGTATTATTTTATGTTTAAGTCATAAATAAAATGTTCAAGTATAATTTTTCAATAGTTCCCCATTTTAATCTACTTTTCCGATGAATCAAGCAACCGCGCGCCCTGATTACTTCCACTAAAGTGGTTTTACAATTCCTGTTTGGATGTCTGTCACCTCCCTAGACCACGAAGCCTTTGAGAGCCAAGGCGGTCTCCTGTCTACCTCCAGAACCCAACACAGGCTTAAGAAGGAAGGGGTAGCCATATTTATCTGGATTCCTCTGGTGACAGATCGATACCCAACTCAACATAGTTTCAGAAAACTCAGGCTTTATCCTAAGGATACTGCAGTGTCTCATGGAAGCTAAGGGCAAAACTGAGAGGCTGGGTCTTGGGAACACAAAGACCCAGTGACCCTTAATGACTATGGCCCTTGAACTTGGATTTCTACTTGTCCTACAAATTAGCAAGAAGGCTCTCTCACTTCTCCTTTACTGAGAGTTCTTATGCCTTCTATCTTTGTATGCCTTGTACCTTATGCCTTCTCTCTTTGGCCATTTTGAGAAGATTCTTGCTCAGTTCAAGACTCACCGTGTGTGCAGAAGGAGTCTGCTTGGGTCAAACATCCAGTCTTGCCTAAGGCTCATGGTCAGGTGCAGGGCCACAATAAAGAGCGTGGTCATCAATGAAGTGACCATTAAGAGAGGGGCAGGTTGGATACAGAGGGGAGAGAGTAAGTCCCAACCAAGTGGGGACATGGCAGAAAACAAAGATGCACAAAACTGTAGCCAGTGCACACTTATGGAAGGAATAGATGAGTACAAGATAAATAGCTGTCCCTGAAAAGGGTCCCGCTTTGACCACAGGGGTGGAGAGCAGGGAACCTGGAGGGAAGGTCAGTAAGCGGAAGCAGCAGTGTAGGTTGGTGGTCACATGCACTGCCCCGGAGGTAGGCTCTGGCTTCGAAACCTAACTCGGCCCGTTCCTAACTCTGTGACTTGGGCCACATCCTTTAGCTTCTCTGTACCACAGTTTCTCCATCTGTAACCCAGAGCTGATAATAACAGCACCTTTTTTTTTAATTTTTAAAGATTTTTATTTATTTTTTGACAGAGAATGAGAGACAGCGAGAGAGAGAACACAAGCAGGGGGAGTGGGAGAGGGAGAAGCAGACCTCCTTGCTGAGCAAGGAGCCCGAAGCGGGGCTCGATCCCAGGACCCCGGGATCATGACCCGAGCCCAAAGGCAGACGCTAAACGGCTGAACCACCCAGGCGCCCCATAACAGCACCTCTTTGACAAGGCTGGAGGATGAAGTGAGTTAGTATTGGTCAAAGAATTAGATCTAGTGTCTAGCTTGCTGTAACCGCAGCCCAAATGTTGACGAAATTCACCGGCAAGCATGCTCTATTTTAAGCATTGTTTTAGAACTCGGGTGCAAATGCTTTAAGCTCTTGAAGTAGGAACGTTACACAGGAAGTATGGGAGGGATGAATAGACCGAATATAAAAAGGCCATCGTACTACACAATGAAAAGCTTCAGTCACACTTGTAAAAATGAAAATTCTTCCATTTTTATTACCAAAATTTTGACTCTGGCAGTTGAGTTTGTATCTGAAAGGGAATTTATGGAACTGTCACCCAGAACTGTTACTGTTTCTGAAAGCTAAGTGTCAGCCCAGCTGTGCAAAAGGTGTTGTTGAGCTGGCTCCGAAAGCCATAGTCTGTATATGCTCTTTAGGCTGATTCAGTGAGGGGGCTGACAGTCCGGATAACGTCCGTGTCTACTTGGTGGGGGTCTAAGACCACCAGGAAATTTAGTTCTGCCTGGAAGTGCAAAGACCAAAAGTTTTGGAGTCAGGCAATCTTGAGTTAAGTCCTGGCTGAGCTCAACAAGTGGCTTGCCTTGTGACCATGATAACTCATATGACCCCTTTGTGGCTCAGTTTCTTCATCTACAGGATGGGAACAAATACTGCCTGCCTCCCAGGATTGTGGTTTACGCTCAAGCCCTTTTTATAGATCCTGGCATACAGTAGGTGCCTATTAAGTAGCAGTAGTCATCAAGGGTGTTTTAATTCATTCCAGTGGCTGGTTCACAGATCATAACCAGCATTACTCTATAGTCTATAGTCCACGACACGGAACAGAACTTAAAGGGATGAGTAACAAAATTCAGGTTTCAAGGGAACTTTTTCTTATTTTTCTCTTTTTAAGGAGTTAAGATTTTCCCAGATCCCTTCATTTAGTAGTTGCCAGACAAAGCTCTTTCTTCATTCTTTGATTTGCTTAAGCATTGCTGAATGCCTATTATATACCGGGAGACCCCAGCACACAAGGCCAATCAAGGCCCTGCCTTCACAGATCACGACTCAGATCCTGTAACTTTGCTGTGTGTCCCTAGGCAAGTGGGCAAGTGACTTAACTTCTCCAAGCCTATTATCCTCATGTGCAAAATGATAACAGTAGTTCCCTTCTGCGGTTATCCTCAGGACCCCGTGAAATACATTTGATCAACATGCCCTGCGAGTCGGGGGGATGAAGTGGGGAGTGGTCCGTCTCAGGTGCAGGCAATAAGCGGGTCCCTGGTCTGTAGAGAACTTAAAACAATAGTAAGAGGACTAAAAGTTGCTTTGCTTTTTATCATTATCACCACTCACGGACTATTTGAAACAATGTCAGCGACAAAATACTCCCCTCCACTCCCAGGATAATGTTAATCGAATAAAAAGGAAGGCAGTTTTTTGCTCTGGTAATAAAACAATAAACCAAAGGCATTATGACACTAAAAGCACAATGCTGAGTTCTCCTGAA